TGGATTTCAGCAATGCCAGGGGCAGAGCCAAGCCGCTGCCTACTGTATCTACGAAGACTTCGATTTCTCCTTTCTTTTCCACAGGTCTCCTGTCGTACCCACATTTTTATTTTTTGGTTTTTTTTATTTTTTTATTGGCCTTGCGAAGCTGGCTTCGCCATTACTGGTGGGCGAGTTTGCGGGGCTCAGTCTGAAAATATTTGCCGACAACTGTCTTGGAGCCGGATTCAAATCGCGACCCATTGAAAAGATCGGGCGAGACATTCAACGGGTTGTATTTATGGGTTAAGTTGCACGTCGAACTCTTCGTCGCATTCAACGAGAACTGTGACCGGTGCTTGGAATTGCTAAAAGCTATTATATCCATAAAATATAAAGATATTCACTTTATCAGACATCTTCCGGAACTAGAATTACCGTTTTCACATGTCCCTCTGTAAGTCAAGTTTGAAAGAAGTCCCGAGTGGTAGACCGCAGCTTGACTTGTCTCCTAAAATCACCAATATACTTATGGATATCGCTTATGCGACGGTGATCGCACACCACCAAACGGACCGTATGATAATCTACTTTTGATGGAAATACAAAACAATTACCTTAAATATAAATATTTAAGTGTCACTTACTCCATAATTATATGAAACTATTTTGATTGATTTTACTATATTATCTCCGTAAAATTCACAATCCGTGCTGCATGACTTCAACAGATAGTTTGTCGTTTGTTGAGTCCTTGTCTGATTTAAACCTGAGCCATTAAAAGTAGGCCATCTTTGCCAGGAAGAAAGCTCAGCTTTGATAAAAAGTCGTTGACTGCGGGCCAATTAACATAAAAGTCGAAACTGGTCCCTCCTTTCCTGCCAAATTTGGTAGGTACTGTTTGATTCAGTACCTTCATGTCATTCAAATCATTACATGGTTTTGGGTGTCAAGTCATTTAACGATCACGACGAGATTGAAATTCGAGATGCGACATTGAAATTCAATTCGAGAAAATATCGAATTTATCTTTGGCTCATCCAAACTTTAATACTTCCGTGGATTTGCAAGGACTCATAAATATCGATGACAGTGATATTGGCAACCCGAACTGAACACAGATACAGGCGATTCGCACAAGTAAGATACAAGCAATGGCCTGTGAGAAACGAAATGATACTCTACTTGTGTTAAACGATTGCTTGCCTAGTTGAACTGAAGTTCAGCTGAGTGTAATGTTGTTGTTGTTGTTGTTGTCCCAGAGTACATAGGGCCCTCACAAGTTGTCTCCACTTGATCTTATTTTGCACTTGCTCGTTGATATAACTCCAGGTCAGGCAGGCAGTCATCATCTCGAACTCTACGGTGCGTAGCCAAGTATCTATAGGCCGACAAGGTCTTCTCCTGCCAAGCGGTTGTCACTCACACGCGATTGATGCTGCGTTGACTCCGCTGCACCGTAGGGTGTGTCCTATCGCCAACGCCATTTCCGATAGGCAATGTCTTGCGTAATTGTGGTTTTGACACATTTAGTCCAGAGGTCTTTATTTGATATAGTGGCTGGCCAGAATATGCGAAGTATCGCAAGTACTTATTTATGAATACCTGCAGTTGGTTCGTGAGTATCTTGGTCACTTTTCAGGTCTCACATCCAAATAGGAGAACACTTCACAATGAAGTCGAACAGGGTCAGCTTGATCCGACGAGTAATGACACTTGACTCCCAGACCCCAGACTGGTTTCAACTGCGCGAACGCACCCCCTGGCTTTCCTGGTTCGTGTCTCTATATCTTCGTCCAAACCGCCCTTATTTAATATGGAACTCCCCAGCTATATAAACCTCTATACTAACTACAAAACACTGTTTTTGAGCAGTAGAGGAGTTGTGCTTTTGACATTACTCACATGTCGACGGTTTTGTTGGTGTTTATAAGCAAAACTCTTTTATCCGCAGACATACAGAAGTCCTCAAGCTTTGCTTGCATCTGATCCAAAGTCAGCGTCATCAACACTATGTCGTCCGCATAGTCAAAGTCTTCTAAGATATTTTCGCTCCATTCGATGCTCCGTGGTGTAGTCCTGTCACATTAGCTGAGTGTAATAGTAAAATAAGTAAGTTAGGGTAGAGTAAGGTAAGTTGAAGACGTCGTGGCCTAAAGGATAAGACGCCTGGTGCATTCGTGTCGAGCGATGCAACCTAGCCACTGATAGCTCAGCAGCGAGCATAACTAAAACACGTATTATAAAAACCAGTGATGGATTTAGGCTTGATATCGCCCTAGTCTCTGTTTATCGCGCCGCACTTAATGTGAGAATAAATTTTATTTATTTTGATCTTGTATTTTAAATTTAAATAAAAAAAAAAATATTAATTTGGTTTTTGGCATTTAGCCTCACGGGCCTAGGCGTAAATCCATCACTGCTTAAAATAATAACTGTCAACAATTCAATGTAATAAATTATTGGTGAACAGAAGAGGCTTTTTTCACACGTTGCAAAATAACGCCACCGCGATTAAAGCTTTTAAAAGCTTCCGAGTGAACGCTTTCATTTGGTGCTTATTGTGACCCGCACGTACAGTGTGTGATATTTACAAACGACATATGGGGTGTATTGACACACAGTTGTGTAGCTGCGGCAATGCAATCACATAAGACTCCTGATTTAAAGCAATCATTTTGTTTATTAACCTACTTTAATAAAAGGAGGAGACTTGAAAATGTTTTTTTTTGTTCAACGTTGATAGGGACACTCGCAAGGCGATCCTATTGTTAAGTTTAATTGGTGTAGTTTAAATTTTGTAATCGATTTCTTCATGACAGAGTTTAAAATTTTAATTTCGAAACTTTTTCAAAAGTAAACTTACCTGTGTGTGCTCTGAATTTTGGTGAACTTAACGAATCATGGTATAAAGATCAAAACTGCTTATTTTTATAATATCAAGTATCTCTTTAAATCAGGGGTGAGCAATCTTTTTATTCAATGGGCCAATTTAAAATTAATTTTTTTTTGGTAGGACGCACATAGATTAACTTTTGTTAATAATTTACGAAACTATTTATTTATAAAAAACAAACAAGAAAAGAACAGAAAAACGAATTGATGGGAGAAATTAGATAAAATAAATTCAATTTTAAAAATGCTTTTGCGGCCCGCGAACCGCTTTTGCTCATCCTTGCTTTAAATGGTATCCATTATAATACTAGAGGTCCCGCAGTAGTCGAAATTCGACTATAATTGGAATTGTAAGTTTGTACACTATTATGATTGTATTTTATACTTCTATAATCACAAATTTCGTCAAGGCTACACTATAAAAAAATATTAATAAAGACAAACAATATTTAATCTATTCTCAATTTGATAACAGACGTCAAGAACAAAAGTTTGACAATAAATAGTATGCATGCGTGTGTACGTCAAATACATGGTATGCAGTGTGTGTAATGTTTTCTTTATTGATATAATGTACCTTTTATGCATTATTTAAAAAAAATATTAGCATTGTGCACTTCTTCTCTATATTCTCTTTAAGTGTGGATAATTTCATACACTTCCGTCCGCGCAATTTTCGTAAAAAGGGATACAAAGTTTTTGCTTCACGTATTAATATATAGATGTATATTTAAAATGAGGCACAATCCACTTATAAATAATCACGCTGCACTCTTGTAGCTTTAAAATCCATTGTGCGAGTTCGCTGTAGACTTATTTATCTCATCTACAAGCCTCAAGTAATTAGCTGCGAACAATGAAATAATTGAGGGGACCATTACCATTGTTCTCGTACTGAAATACAGTTTAATTCGAAATTGTTGAGTTGATTGCTTCATTATTTCCGTGACTCAGTCGTTTTGTGGTTTCCTCTATATCAAAGGATCTTAGATTCTGGGCTGAACCTCTATGAGAGAGGACACCGCGTCCAGAGTGCTCAGTGCGAGTTTTTTAACGTTGTCGATAGCGTTAGTCTACGGGCACGAAACTTGCGATGGCGGCAGCGAGGCGACGCGACGTGGGGCGGGCAGGCAGCGATATCTCGCGCGGGCACGAAACAAGCTGGCGGGCAGTCGCGCTCGAGCAGTGTTGTGCGAATCATGAGTTTACGTCGAAAAGAACAATTCCCTAGTCCCCTAATGNAATTTGATGTATGTTCGTAAACATATTGAGGAGTTTCCTAAAATGTCGGACATACATAATAGAAATACTAGGAACAAACACAAGCTTGTTGTGCCGATGAGTAGGTTACATAAGATACGAAATTCATTCGGGTGTTTGTCTGTGCGCCTGTACAACAAAATCCCACAAGATGTTCAGAACCTACATATACATAGGTTTAAGAAAACTATCAAAGAACATCTGTGCAATAAAGCTTACTATTAAGTCAACGATTATCCAGAAGATTGCATAAAGTGGGAATGAGTTGCTCGCTCCGGGCATTTCGGTATTGTAATAATTGTTATGTTATAATACTCATTATAAAAATGAATATTTAACAAAAAACTTATATTAAAAAAATATATCTAATATTAAAAAAACAAAAAGACATGCCCGCTGAGTTTCTTGCCAATTCTTCTCAGGACGGAGGCTAGTTCTTGTGAATTGGCGGTAGTTCTTTGACGTTCAACAAGTATGTACTTTCATTTATGTTGAATAAAAATTTTTTGATTTGATTTGATTTGTTTTATTACCCTTAGTTTGCGGCTATTACTGAACCATATGTGTCCATGTCACTTCCAGTACTCAAAATTATATTATACGCTACGTCCTGAGGTCCAGTGCCCCCAGGATCAGGCCCCCAGTTCGTTCATAGAAAGATGTTAAACAACTTACCAGTAAGTCGCCAAAGATGAAAACATATAAAAATGATGAATTAATAAATAAAACATATCGACGCTTGAAAAGCAAACGTGACTATGCGACAATACTAGTGTTAAGAATTCTTGTATGTGTTTGCATTTTAAGAGGCTTGAATAAATATTATTATTATTATTATTTATTTATATTTATTTAAAATCTTATTAGTTAATTACGGAGGTCGCAGCCTAAGGTCTTAAAAAAACCGAAACTGAATCTACTACTAGTATTAAAATTAAAAAGATTACAATGAAACTTAAACTTAATTAATGCTACTGGTCTGTCTTCCGACGATGTGAGTTCAGAAGTGCGGGCCCCGTGGCTGGCTTTGAGGCTCCATGAGGTAAAGGTGCTGAATCGGCGTCCCCGCACTCATGTGCGTCAATGTGCCATTTACGTCAATGCACGGTTTCTAGGGTGTTGAAATGCTGTCTCAGCGTTCACGACAGTCACGTACGCCAATGTATATATGTGGTAAAATTCCTATTGCATATCGGAATATTACATAGAGTTAGGGTATATAACACCTCCCCCCTCAGCTCAGCGACTATTTGAGCACCTTGAGATCAAATGTTGCTGTCCTTGGATCTTGATGTTCTGAATTTTCAAGATCTTCAGATTCATGGCTTCGAGCTGTCATTACTTGAGATGGAGGAATCTTCTTTATTGGTTTCGGTTTCAATTTGTATCGTTTCAGGATGTATGAAGAAATAATAACGATTGCTACGGCCAGAGCTCCGTACAAGGGAATGGTTGTATGGTATATTGCTGTATCCGTGTGGTCCATTTTGATTGGCTGCTGCATTATAATTTTATCTTGTATAGGCTGTAGACTTTTTAAGTTGATGGAGTTGAGTTTTATGTGTTGAATTTCTTTAGTATCGATGGCGTCATAGTTGTGAGGTATCTCAGTTATCAGTAGTGGTTGTCCTTTCACTCGGTCGTTGATATTGATTATAGTGAATTCTGCAGTGCGCAAAAGGCATTTATGTGGTATGGTGGCGAGGTAACTCCCATGGAGGTTGATGAACTGCTGTCGTTCACACTGAAGCTCTGTCTTCATGGTTTTGGGAAAGATGAGTGTATAGTGCTGATCATCTAGCTGTTCCACCGCTTCCTTGTCGAAAGTTACTTTGGTAGGTCGGCATGAATTGTCCAGGGTTTGGTGGCTGACGATGCTCTCAACGCAATGTGGGTCTCCTCTAGATATGTGTTTTATCTTTTCTTCGCATATATGTTCTTGGTTGAATTTCGGACATTCTGATTCTACGTACATGAAAGTTACACCATTGGCTGCTAGGAATGGGTAAGGTGGGACATACATATGTCTTTAAGTTTCTATTTGGGACAAGTGAAAGCTTATAAAATTCAAATTTGCTAGGAGAGATAACAGGAAATTTGAATATAATTATTATTTTATTTCCTGCATAATAGTATCCTGATTTTATCACGTCGTAGTACTCCCTTAATTCTGCCTGTAGCACCTGTTCCTGACCGTATACTAATATAAGCTTATTAATCATAATCCTTAAGTTTTCTATACCTAACATGCTATGATGATGATGGCATGAGCATTACTTTCCAATATTAACTGGAAGCTGTTATTAATCATAATTTGATTTTCTGTTATTTTAGTAAGCAAAGTTGTATGCTGGCTCATCCACTCCTTATTGAAACTGACATTATCATTAATTGCAGATGTTAACTTATTTTCGTTGCGTTCTAGAATTTCGATAGCTTTATTGTATTTTTCAGCGTCAGTGTGATCCAAATTACCCGTTATGCTTTTAACCAGGGATCCCAAACCGTCTACAAGGCCTCTTTTATTTCTTAGGTTACTTGGTTCTAAAAGTACTAAGTTGTTTCCGAATTTTATCAATTTTACCTAGGAGATAATTTATTTTCAACTCGTATAATAAGTATGTATCGTTAGTGAGCTTCGTTTCAAAGGACTTAAGCTGTGAGTCCACAGAGTCGAGTCTGTCGTTCATGTCGTTCAATTCAATGTATTGTATGAAGGAATGGTAGTGCGTAATAAGTCTGGCATTGCCGAGTTTGAAAGGGAGAACACCGGGTCCATCATCAAGGCTTTCCAGCCTTATCTCGTGCGCCAGTGTCACGTGAAAGGTCATCAGGATTATCCTGTAACAATTTGGCTGTTTTAGGTACACGTTTGAGTCGCGATTTTGCAATGGGGCCTTTCTTTTTAGAGGTATAGATGTGGATTGGGAGATCAGCTAAGACTGTGTCTTGCGTGTATCGAGTGGCTAATTTATTCCTATTGGCTGAGGGGTTCGTTACAAATACTTGTTGGTTGGGTTGATATTCAACCTCGGGTTCCCTATCTTTATTTATGCTATTCATTATTTTTGTGCGATTTTCGAGTGAAGATTCGTTTATTTTGTCATATACGTCTTTCATTTGCTGTCGGTGTGTTAAAATATATTGTTGCATTAAGTGTTCAGTCATGTCGATATCAAAGGGGTCTCGAGGGTCAAAGTGTCCTCGAATTATATCGTGGGGTCTGCACTTTGTGAAGCTGTGTACGGAACTATTATAAGCTAGAATAGCGTAGCCCATTAGGTTTACTATAGGTTCGTCTTTCTGATTAAGTCGTAAAATTCGTAGGTGTTCTAGTAAAGTCGAATGAAATCTTTCAATCATTCCATTGTCGTTGGGGGCGTTAGCTAAGGTTTTATGATGGTTGATTTTATGTAACCTCGTGAATTCAGCAAACATCTGGTTAGTGAATTCCGTACCGTTGTCTGTCACTAGGGTTAAGGGTAGTCCATGGTGGGTACTGTATTTTAGTAGCCCTTGTAATATACTAATAGCTGTACCATCGCGTAAATGATAAGCTTGTCCGTACTTAGAAAAGACGTCTATGAAAGTTAAGTATTTTTCGTTATGAGCGGTGAATAAGTCCATGTGAACTATTTCGAATGGTTTTGAGGCTGGGGGAACGATATTAAATTTAGGTTTAATCGGATGTCTATCGTATTTAGTTTGACCGCACACTGTGCACTCATTTATGTATTTGGAAATCTCATCTTTCATTTTAGGCCAATAGTATTTGCGTGAAAGGGCTAAGTAACATTCATTTATTCCCCTGTGATTAGTTTTGCCCTCATGATAGCATTTTATGATCTCCTGTTGTCTTAAGTATTCCTTGACATCTTCCAATTCGGTAGTTGCCAGGACTAAATTCATGGAGGAACCTTTAAAGTTTTCTTGGATGATAGGGATAATAGAATACATACCCAGAGGGGGCGTGATTTTAATTGCGGTTTTAACTTTAGGATTCACATATTCTTTTATCGCGTTAACTACATCTTGCTCGAGATTTGATTCAGATACCTGAATGAAAGTACGAGTGTGTGTGTCAAAGGGTTTAGTCGCGGTTGTCCGTCTCTTAATATCTCCTACGATAGTAAAACATATTTGTCGATGAAATTTATTTAAGGGATCATAAGTGATTGGGACTTCGAGAATAGGATTCTCGTTGCTGGTGTGAGCTGTAATCGTTGATGAACCAGCGTCGGATGGCGGTCGTTCTGTGAGGTTTACTATCATGGAATCGGTCTCTTCGTTATTAATTTCGATCCGGGATAGTGCGTCAGCGTTAGTGTTACTTTTACCCTTTTTGTAAACTACCGTATAGTCATATTCGCTTAATTTAAGTCTCCATCTCGTTAGTCTCGAATTCGGTTCTTTAATATTCATAATCCATTGAAGGGGCTTATGGTCGGTTAGTATTTTAAATTTACGACCGAAAAGATAGGGCCGAAAATATTTCGTAGCCCATACTATTGCCAGGAGTTCCTTTTCAATGGTACTATAGTTAATTTCGCTGTCGTTAAGGGTCCGGGAAGCGTAACATACAGGTTTGTCTGACCCAACGGGTCCTTGACTGAGGACGGCTCCGATTGCTAAGTTAGAAGCGTCTGTTGTTAGGATGAATTCTTTGTTAAAGTCTGGGTATTGCAGTATGGGGTCGTTTGTGAGTAGAGTCTTACATTTTTCAAAGCAGCTAATGTATTCGTGGTCAAAAGTTATTTTGTTAGTCTTTTTTAAACATTTTGTCATAGGTTTAGTTACTCTGGCGAAATCAGGGACGAATTTCCTGTAGTACCCTAACAGGCCCAGAAACTGCTTTATTTCTTTAGGTGTCTTTGGCATGGGATATTTTTTTATAGCCTCTATCTTGTCGGGATTTGGTTTTATACCGTCTTTGCTTATGACGTGTCCCAAGTACGCGGTTTCCAACTTAAGAAATTCAGACTTGTCCATCTGAATTTTAAAGTTAGATTCTCGTAGTCTGGTGAATACCTTCTCCAGATTTGTCATGTGCTCCTGTAGGGAGGTGCTAAATACGATAATATCATCGAGATATACAAGACAAATCTCGTTTTGTAGACCCCGGAGGACATTGTCCATTACTCGTTGAAAGGTGGACGGAGAATTCTTCAAACCCATCGGCATGCGCAAAAATTCGAAATGTCCATGCTCGACGTTGAAAGCGGTTTTAGGTATATCACCAGGGCTCATTTCCACTTGGTAAAATCCAGATGCAAGGTCCAGAGTAGTAAAATACTGACACCTACCAAGCTTATCAAGGACATCTGTGATGTTAGGTATTGGATACTTATCGTCAATAGTCTTGTCGTTTAGTTTACGAAAATCTACAACTAGCCTCCACTTTTGTATGCCAGATGCATCTGATTTCTTTGGGACCACCCATATGGGAGAGCTCCAGGCCGAGTCAGAAGGTCTGATTATGCCTTGGTCCAACATTTTAGTGATTTGATCTCTAACTTCCTGACGGTGCACAAAAGGGTAGCGGTAGCTTTTCGTATAGACTGGTTGTTCGTCTGTAGTCTTAATCTGGTGTTTAATTTTATTAGTGAAGGTCAAGGCTTCACCCTCAATATAAAAAACGTCAGCATATTGTCCACATAGAGTCTCTAAATTAATCTTTTCTTCGACATTCAGATGATTAGTACGAAGCCGGGATAATACTTCCCTAACCCGGTTGGGGTCCTGCTCGTGGTTTCCGCATTCGATATTGAAGATGTCTACTTTTAGCCGTTGGTCAAAAGTGACGGTAATGTCGGAGTCAGTGGGGTTTTCCATCTCTATGATACCCGTATGATCGGTAACGGTAGTGATACACTCGTGTACAATGCAGTTACATATCACTTGCTCATTTATGTGCACTTCACCATCAGGGTTGTCTATGGGCACGTTAATCACCCTAGTTGTATTAGCAGGGATAAGTTCCTGATAGTTGGCCCTTCTACACATATAACATAACAACGGTATACAAGTATGATCGGTAATGAGTAAATTGCGTTTCAGATCGATTTGAGCTCCGTCTAAGAGGTCAAGTCCTAACAGTCCGTCGAAATGATTATGGAATTTGTAGATGAACAATTTAACATCTTTTTGTTCGTTGATATCTATAAAGTTAGGTAATGTTATTGAGAAGTCGTGGGTGCTCGTGATACGCGAGTTTGTAACCTCGAAAGGGTCTCGGTTGAGAGGTACGTGTGAAAAATACTTCTGCACGGCTTCANGATACATTCGTGTACAATGCAGTTACATATCACTTGCTCATTTATGTGCACTTCACCATCAGGGCTGTCTATGGGCACGTTAATCACCCTAGTTGTATTAGCAGGGATAAGTTCCTGATAGTTGGCCCTTCTACACATATAACATAACAACGGTATACAAGTATGATCGGTAATGAGTAAATTGCGTTTCAGATCGATTTGAGCTCCGTCTAAGAGGTCAAGTCCTAACAGTCCGTCGAAATGATTATGGAATTTGTAGATGAACAATTTAACATCTTTTTGTTCATTGATATCTATAAAGTTCGGTAATGTTATTGAGAAGTCGTGGGTGCTCGTGATACGCGAGTTTGTAACCTCGAAAGGGTCTCGGTTGAGAGGCACGTGTGAAAAATACTTCTGCACGGCTTCAGGGCTGATAAACGACTGATTTGCGCCAGTATCCACTAGAAATTTAAGTGGTGGTTCGGACATCTGTATGTAACGTAATTCTCTTTTACATTGTAAATTAAGTTCTATTTTGGTTCGGGGTCGGTTCGACCTTTGTGAAAATCCGATTCATTTTGGTTTTGTCGACTGGTTGAGGGTTGAGGACCCTCCAAGGCATTTCCCGAGTACTGATGTTGCCCAAGGTCATCAGCGTACGCGTTATTATATTCGTATTCGATCGGGCTTTGATCGTAATATGTGTTAAAGTCATAGTAGTAATCGTTCGTTTCAGTGTATGGGTCAGAGTTGTAATACATGTCGT